TGTAGCTGCCACTGGTGTAGCTGCCACTGGTGTGGCTGCTGATGTTGTTAACGTTGTTGTTTATTTGTAGTATCGTATTGTTTTCGATAAATTGGTTGTTGTATATACTAGAGTTTGTACTTTATTAATACCTTAGTTTTGTTGTTTTTTTTAGTGTAGTTGATGTCTTCATGTAGTTGTGTAGTTGATGTCTTCATGATTTTTTCTTTCTTTCGGTTGTTTTTGTTTTTTTTTCGTTGATGTAATCTGGAGTTTTCTACTTGCTGAAACGAGTTGATGCGATTTCAATGTAACTTGACCAGGTGTGTCATTCATGCAACATCAAAAGGCGAAAAATATATTTGATGTATCTCAAACAGCTATCGAAACATGAGGAAATTATGTAAATACACCATCTTTAACCAATGCGAAGCAATCTTGTTTAAATATTTGTTAAAATTATCATAACGTTTAATGAAAACTTTAAAGGTATTCACGAATAAATAGAGATTTTGCGAGTAATTCATCAATGTTTTATTTCAAAAAATCGACAAATGTGGATGAAATGATTTCTCTAATGAAAGTTTTTACGATATTTCAGCGCTATATAAATGCAGGAATGGCCGACCAATCACAGCCATTCATTTGCTTTCATATCTTTTAATACGCGCTTATACAATTTTATATCACTTTTATACCGTCAGTAATGAAGAGGCTGAAAACACTCGTTCATGCATACATGCATGCATACATGCATACATGCATGCATACATACATACATACATACATACATATATACATACATACATACATATATACATACATACATACATGCAATATACACGTACATTCCCTAATGCATATACATGTGTACATAAATTTATATATATATATATATATATATATATATATGATATATATATGATATATATATATATATATATATATATATATATATGATATACTGATACATTTTTGGATATATTGAAAACACTTAGTAGAGTATCATTAATCCGTCCATTGTCCATTCTCATATCAAACAAATAACGAAACATTACGATACCGAAAATCTGGCGGTTAAATTGTCTACTGGTAAATGTTAGAAATCTGCCACGGCGTCTCTTGTCAAGTCTTCCAATTAGCTAACCATTCAACTAATTAATTATCAATTAGTTATTTAATTAAGTAATCACTAATTAATTATGTAAGCTATTATTATTTTCTGTTCTTCCAATTGCTATTTTCCATAATGGTTCTTATTTATTTTTAGTTAAGTTTTTAAAAATCACTCAAATGTATAATACCTATGCCTAATCGTATGCGAGATTAATAATATTATTGTTATAATTTAAACGCATTCTTAGAAATAATAATATAATAAATTAATAATAAGTAGATAATAATAATAAGAAGAAGAAGTAGAAGAAGAAGAAAAAGAAGAAGAAGAACAACAACAACAACAACAACATGTAAAGTAACACGTAGTGCTGACAACAACAAATCAACCGTTAAGAATATCATCATCAGCACCATCGTCGTCATCATCATCGTCGTCGTCATCACCATCATCGTTGTCATCATCACTAACTACAAACATGAAAACAAGAATAACAGTAACAATGACCACAATATAATCATATAAGATAAAAAGAAAGAAGAGAACGAAGTTTATTAGCGCAAACAAAAACAACAACAACATCATCATCAACAACAACACCAATATAAACTACAAAAACATCATTATTAACAACAAACAGCAACAACAACAAACAACAACAACATCTTCAACAACAACATCAATAACAAACTACAAAAACATCATTATTAACAACAACAAACAACAACAACAAACAACAACAATCACAACATTAAAGTAAAAGTGTCTTTCAAATGCAGTTGTCACACGTGGGTCGGCCTTCTCCAATCTGATTGGCCGAGAGATGAACCAATGGGAAGGCTTCATTTTCATTTGTCGTTTGTATCAGCAATCCGTCCTTGCGCCATATCATATCATACGCATATTGAGAATTGAGATAGTGTTGTTATTGTTGATGTTGTTGTTGATGTTTTTATTGCAATTTCGTTGATGCTATGTTGCTGTAAAATGATGATGCGAATGCTTTTATAGATACTTGTTTTATATACTTGCATTAACAGAAGTAGCAGCAGCAGTAGTGGTAGTAGTAAAGTTACTTGTTATAGGTTGTGGTAAATTTACAGACTTGTAAGACTTTTTTTCACATGTGTACAAGCGACGTGAAATAGATAGGTGGGTATGGATAGAGTAGTTAGCAACGTAAACGTTTATAATTTGGACCGCATGTATGCGTGTGTTTTATTTCTTTCTTCTGGTTTAATTTATTTTTCTTATTTACTTATTTATTTATTCATAAGAATTTATTTGCCAAAACTGAAAACTCGAGAGAAAAAGTGAGAGAGAGAGAAAGAGAGAGAGAGAGAAGATGATGGTGAGAGGTGGAAGAGAATGATTCATCAACTTTCATCATACATCCGCCCGGCCACTCCGTAAGGTCTTTTTATATGTATACATACTACACACGCACGCACTCACATACACCTACTACACACGCACAAAAGTACCCACATACCACACACACATAGAAGCATACCAGAATAAAAAGTAATTTTTCTACCTACAATTTAGGTATCGTAATTAACTAACATTCGCAACTAAGGTGCCTACCATCTGCTAAATAGCTCGGACAACAGAATGCCTGGTTCAAATGCAAACGAAATCAAAATCGAGACCATCTTAATTGTCCGTGAACTTTATTTTACTCTGTTTCAGAGATTAATATAAATAATAATGAAATAATTTTCCATAAAATCGTATAAATATTTATAATAACATGTAAATTATCGTGTGGAAGAGTTAAACCGTCATTTTTCTCCACATTCAATCTCAGCCTGTTTGTCAGGTGGTGGCTAAATTAATCTTCAGAAAAATTAGTCTGTGTGTGCGAATACTACTACTACTATTACTACTACTTCTAGCAATATTACTATTACTTCTGGTATACTACTACTACTACTACTACTACTACTACTAACAATAATAATAATTGGACTATAGCGATGATAAGTATGACGAGAATACGTGACTATGTGCGGAAAATTGAATTAATAAATAAACAAATAGTCAAATAAATAAATGAACAAACAGACAATCAAATAAAATAAATAGATAAATCATTCATAGATAAATTAAAGACAATAGCGGACTAGCGTTTACGTTGAAAAAAATTGAACGAAAGAATGAACGAAATAAATTAATTAATGAAAGAATAAATTAATAAATAAATAAAAGAATTAATTAGTAAATGAAGAGTGAATTGATAGCAGTAAAACAGTCAATAATGAATAGTTAGATTACATAGAAACTAAAAAAAATGACCTAGTGTGACATAGATAGAAGCGAGCCAAAGACAATTGAACACTGGAAATAATTTATAAAAATTTATAGAAAAACATTCTTAAATATTCCAAAATTTATAATAAATATTGAAAAAAATGAGTATAAACAAAAAAAAATATATACAATTGAAAAGATTATGGTCTTCGGTGAACGTTGTATAATAAAAGCAAAAAAACAATTAAAGCAAAGTGTATAAAAAAGCAATATCATTCAAAATAAAAACAAAAAAAACTGTTAAAAAATGCGAATTTTTTTAAAAACCACATGTAGAAAGAAAAAAAATTATAAATACTTCTTGTGTGAAAAAACATTTCATATAAAATTTAATATAAAAAACCTACAAATGCAAAATACCATTCAGTACAAAACACCATGTGCAATACAGTGCAGCATACAATACAAAATACTTTACAATACCAAGCAACAAAATGTCAAAAAGACTATAAATAGTATGATATAACTCAGAGGGTTGTCCATTCAAACAGTGACGCCATCTTTCTTTATCTTCACGCCAGCTGAATTTTTCTTTCCATTATTTCCTGTTCCACTACTTTTTGTCAAACTCGGAGAACTGGAGTATCGACTTTTTGTCTTTTTGTAGTGGACGGAGCTTGGGGAAATCTTTCTGTCGGCCACTGGAGATGTCATTTTTGAGAAAATATTCCTAAACATTCGAGTTGATAACTTGTCTTTTAGATTTTTCTCTAGAGTTTTGTCTTCGTAGAGTGTTTCAAGTTTGGCAGTGGTGGGGATATCTTTGTTGTTGGTGGAGGTTGATGACGTCACTTGTTCCTCTTCCCACTGTTTGATTTCTTCAATTTTCTTCAGTAAGGTGGGGTAGTCATAGCGAATCACATATGTATACTCCTCTTGAACTTCTAATTTTATGTATTTCTGAAAATGCATTGTGTTCAATAAATTAATAACAATAAGATATAGAATGTTTATGACAAACACAGTGATGAATCTACAAAGCAACAACAAATGATTGAGAACAAATTCTAAATTTAAATGAAAATAAATCATAAATGATATAAATAAATAGTTGATGAACCAAATAAGCATGAACCTTTTTATCAGTGAAAGAATTATTGTCGACATCCTCAACATAAGTACCACTTGCATCATTTTCATTGTCATTGACACTTTCTTCGACATCGGCGTTGGTGGGAGTCGAGGGAAGGGACTTCTTATCACGATTCACCAGGAAGCGATCATCTTCAAAACTAACTTCTTCAGTAGAATTGAAGGTGAAAACGCTAGCAACCCCCAGAGAATTAGCCGTACTTGGAGGACCCACGTTACTCTGGCTGGCTGGAGGAGACTGGCTGTTCTCTCTATCAGTTCTGCCGCTGTTGCTATCCGCCACTAAAGTTAGGCAATTATCTGAAGATGATTTGTCCATATTGAAATTGTGAAGGGTATCTTCTGTTAATTTTTTCTAGTTTATAAAAAATAGATAGCTGGTATCGCTTTTTTTCAATTTAAATACACTTTTAAAAAAATTTCTGACATATTTACGTGCCTGACTGGTAGAGAGGTAATTTATGTCTCCGGGAATTGAGCTATTAAAAAAGTGCAGAAGTGCTTGAGATGAGAGGGAGGTAAGTCAGATGGCTGGATCAGAATGAATGCTTGCAAGTAAAAAAGGCTTTTTAAAACTTATTGTTAGCAAAAGTCAAAATTAAAAAGTTATTAAATATAGAGAAATTAATTCTAATCAGTTAAATTTTGTTGTTTTTTTAACATTGGTGAGAAAATTGATAATTAAATCTAAAAACTTGACAAAACAATTACACGACTAAAAGTGCATCACTATTTAAATGTCCATTATAAAACTCTCATTATTAAATTTACATTAAATTATCAATAAAGTGTAATTAATTAACTTTAAATTAAAATTATTAGTTTAATATTAACAAATTTAAATTTTTCAGATCATAAATATTTTGTAAAATGAACAATTACCAGCAAATATCGCAGCAAAGAATATTTTAATACCGGGTGTTATACTCATCGGATGGTCTTTTAGTGTTTATTTGCCATTTTGTTGATAAATAAATAGTATTTAATCAAATTAATTTGTTTATTCTTCAAAGATATGTCCAATAAACACGAGAAAGAGAAACAAAAGTCACTCCAAGAGAAATATCAATCTATCTTATACGGACTTTTGAGAGATGAAGATAACAAGTATTGCGTGGATTGTGACGCCAAAGGTAAAATTTTTTGAAAATTGAAATTATTTTAGGAGCAATTAGGGAATAAACTTTTAAATAATTCAAAAAGTATGCCAATTTGGTATTTAGCTTCAATTTTTTATTAGTTTGATTAGTTTTTTTTTCAAAAATTATCTTATCTTATATAAACCACATAATACTTCATCACTATCTTCACTCAGGACCAAGATGGGCTTCCTGGAATTTGGGTGTGTTCCTTTGCATCCGTTGTGCCGGAATCCATCGTAACTTGGGGGTCCACGTGTCAAAGGTCAAGTCTGTCAATCTAGATTCATGGACTGAAGAACAAGTGGCAGTTAGTTGAAAGTTCTTAACTTTATTATTTCATTAATTTTTTTGTTACTTCAAGTTTACTTTACAATTTACATACTAGGATTTAAAATTTTTTAACAATTGATATTATAATTCAAAATATTAAATTATTAATTTAATTATTAATTATAATTTAAAATATTTAATTATGGTCTTTTAACTTGAAACCATCACCTAGATGATGCAAGAGATTGGAAACAGCAGGGGTCGAGCTGTCTATGAAGCAAACATTCCAGATAACTTTAGGAGACCTCAGAGTGACTCGTAAATATTTTTTCAATATCTTAATTGTTTTTATTCAGTATCTTTATTTCCAAATTATTTTATTCCTTGGCGTTATTTTTGAAATATTCTGTTTTTAATTATATTTTGGTTTGGTTTTACAATATTTTTTTTCATATTTCAGATTAATTTTTTCCTTTTATTTCAGGAGTTTGGAATCATTCATTAGAGCCAAATATGAGCAGAAGAAATACATCGCATCGGAATGGATACCACCTAAACCAAAGGTGTAATATTGATAAAAGTAGTGATGTGATCGTTATTGATGATAATAATAGGGGTAATATGTGAATAGAATTTACTGGCGTGTTTTTTAAATTTAAAAAATTTCCAAAAAATTCAAGAATGTGGTGTTTCCAAAAGAGTCAACACCGACAAATATTCCATCCAAGGTCTTTTGGATCTTTTCTGTTTCCATAAATAAAATTTTTTTCCACTTAATATGTTATTTATTAATAATAATTTTTAATGATTTATATATATATACATATATATATATATATATATATATATATATATATATATATATTTACAATATTCTATAAATTCTACCGAATGTTTGGCATTTATATATAGGGACCAATTTTTACAACGTCAAAGTTCATCTTGACAAAGTCAATATTTCCCTATATATACAGCAAGGAGCACTGATGATGATTCATTCGGAATCGAAATATGGCCTTATTTGCAGCATGAATTCGAAAAATAAGTTTATTTTGAATTTTAATAAACTAAACGTTCACCAAAAAACTTTAGTGAGAAAAATCGAAAAAACGAACTACAAAATATTAACGCCAAACATTCGGTAGAATTTATAGAATATTGTAAAAATTATGGTCTATTACCAACATATATATATATATATATATATATAATTATCATCATCACTGCTGTCACCATCATCATCGTCATCAGCACAAACTACATACATTCCATCACTTATTCTCACATATTTACTGACTCTGGCAGACAAAAACTAGCTCAACAGAGACACCAAAACTAAGCCGCAACTCCACGGCCAGCAGCAAACCAACATTCTCATCTGCGACTGCCAACAACGACACTACTACCGCCCCTACTACTACTACTACTACCAGCAGTGCACCAATTTCCATGGCCAATAGTGGAAACAGCACTGCTAATAGTACTTCAGTTAGTAATTCTGCAACCAACGGTGAGGTGGATTTACTTGGGTTAGGTGAGATTTTATGTGTGTGTCTGTGTTTTTGTGTTTGTGTGTCTGTGTGTTTGTGTGTGTGTGCGTGCGTTTGTGTGTGTGTATGTGTGGTGTGTTTTATTCATTCAAATTTGTTTTCAATTAAATATTTTAACCTGTTATAAAATCAAATATTTTTGTAAAAGTTGGCATTATTTTAACCTTCCTCTACTCAACTTATAATATTATGTAATTATCATCATCATTCTTGTTAATGTTATTATTATAATTTATAATTATCATTTATAATTATTTTCCTACATCCCTAACCAACCAGATGACCCGACCCCAGGTCATGGGGGTGATAAACAGAAGGACATATTTGGGGAATTCCTGAGCAGTCCGTCGCCAACACTGATCCAACAACAACAGCAACACCAGCAACAATTGCAAAATGCAATGGTTAGTCAGTTAATAATGGGGTGATAATAAATTATAATACGTACATACCATCCTACTAGCATACATACATGCATACACACATACATACATAAATATTACACACACACTCACGCACACACTCACACACACACACATATATACATACCTACATACATGGTTTTTATGTATGTATGTATGTTTTAACCTACATACATATACACATACATACATACTTGCATACAGATACATACACATGCATATGCACATCCACACAGAATGCAGCCAATGAAACTAATCTTTTTGATACAACATCATCCTCCTCATCATCGTCCAATGCTGACAAAAAGGTTTCTAAAGACGCCATTTTGGCTCTCTATGGATCTTCACAGCCCCCTGGCGGGCCTGCCACCATGTTTTGCCCTGGTTTGTCACTAAATAAGGGCTCCATTATGACATTTCATTTATTAACATTATTATCATTATTTACTACAGTAGTGATAATGATGATATAGTAATATTTATTATTATTATTATCGTTATGTTTGTGAAATTATTTTTAAAATGTTTGTTATCTGTTTCCTCTTAAGGTGGTTTAGTTGCTGACCCCATGCTGGGCATGATGCAAACCCAACAGCCAATCAACGGCCAGCTATCTGTGCAGGTGAGGCTATAATTATCTATATCATAATTAATTTTAATGTTATATATTTATAGTTGGTGTATAGTTATTTGTTTATTTTTTATTCCTCTGTTTGTCCATTCGTTCATTCATTGGTTATAAATGATAATGATGGTGATGATGATAATAATAATAATAGTGATGATTATTATAGATGATGATGCCGACGCAAGTTCAAGGCCAGATGATGATGACCTCTAACCTCTTGTTAGGGTCAACTCCTCCTACTCAGGGCACACTTCCTTACAACATGAGCCAGGTTGAGTCAAATCTTTCATGTTGGTGGTGATGTGGTGATAGGGAGGTGTGAGGTAATGGTGATGGAGGGAAGAGGTCACCGACGGGAATAATGATGAGGACGACGATTATTGTGATTGTGATAATAAGTCATCTCATCTCATTTCAGATGCAAAATCAGTTCCTTGGAATGAATTTGAACCTGCCACACCAACAGCCCCATTACCACCAGCAGCAGCAGCAGCAACAACAACAGTTATTTCTACAACAACAGCAGCAGCTTCAACTTCAGCAGCAGTTACAACAACAGCAGCTGCAACAACAACAGTTTCACCACCAACAACAACCAAATCTCTTCCAACAACCGCTGACTACACATCAGCAGCAGCAACAAAACATTCTCTCTCTCTACCCGCAGCAGAACAGCATGGGGATGGGAGGTGCCCCGAATTTTCGACCTCCCACTCAGCCGCAGATGGGGGTGGCCGTCGGTTGGGGGGCCCAGCCTACCCCCTCGCAGACCAAGCAAATAGCCAATAACTTTTATATCGGGCTTTAGGAAATTAGTTATTAATTTATCTAAAATTAATTGTATTGATTGATTCAAATGATTGATTGATTGATTAACCTATCTGCAAATATGATTATATTATTGCTACACTATTGTTGTCATTTGGTTATATTATCATTATTTTTATATTTACAATTATAATTAATTATATTAATTATTATTTTATATATTTATAATTATAATTGTTAATTATAGAGAATGACGTTCGTATGTTTATATTGTTGTTGTATGATAGAGAAAAACTCAACGTGATTAGTTATATTCCTGATTAAATTGTGGATAAGTTGTTCGTAATTGTTTCATAAACACTTTCGTTCTTTGCATTTGTTATTAGTATCGTTGTCGTTGTTTGTTATTATTGTTTGTTTCTATTATTAATTAATTAATTGGTTAGTAATTATTTGCATGTCTCAGAGTATATGTATATATATGTATTCACAATGACATGAGTTTTTGTCATTTTTATTTTGTCACTTTGGGTTACCCTAGCGCTGTCTTAATTTGAAGTAGAAATTGCCAGAGAATTTTTTCATAAAAAGTTGTTTAATAGATCGTAATTATATGACCAATTAGTTACTTAATTAATTGATTTGATTAATTAATTATTATGAAAGATTAATTGGTTTGGAAAGATGGATTCATTGGATCGATTTTACTACCACAGGCGTTGTTGCTATCTATATATCCATTTCTCACTATCACAAAAGGCATTATCATAATTGGTTACTCACTTTGTTATATATCGTGTCGTTGTCTATCACCATAATCGTCCTCGCTCATCATCATAATTTATTAATTTATGCTAAAACACGCATGCACTCTGGCTAGATGTTTTATTATTTTACTCATTGTTTCATCATAAAGTATGCTAAAACACGCATGCACTATGATTGGATTTTTATTATTTCGCTCGTTATTTCATCATAATTTATTAATTTATGCTAAAACATGCATGCACTATGATTGGATGTGATTAATTGATAAAATGCAATTTAAATATTATTGACTCAAGACTTAGACGTATAAAAATAATGGTGATAATGATGAAATTAAAGTTATCTATACATACATAATTTATTTATTTAGTGTACAACTTTTGTGGTTATTTTCATTAGCTTTCTTATTATCTTTTCAACGTTATATTCCTGGGGTTGAAAATTAATTTCTAATGTAGATTCTGTATAATTTATTTGTGATGAAACAACAAAACTGATGATCACTATTTTTGTGTTTTTGGTCATATTTTTTCAAGATAAAAAACAAATGTAAACAAGAATAATAAACATTAACGCAATAAACAGAAAAGAAAAATTAAATAAATAAATCAGTCAATTAATTAACTGGTTAATTAATTAATTGATTGATTAACGACGGACACAGTATAAAACACTTGGACACTTTTCTGAGAAATCACGATCGATAAAAATATTTTTCACAATTTTAGATAATAATCATTCAAGGCACACTGCAAGTCTCAAAAACGAGAAAAAGAAATTAATTTAAAAACAAAAACGCAGCTTGACACAGTAACACGACAAATGTTAGGTTACAACACAGCAATTCCAACTCCTCAATACAGTGAGTCTAAATCTTCAATCATCAATGACGTCATCAAAATAATTGGTTACGTCATCATAACAATTGGTTACGTCATCATAGGTCACTTCCTCTGGGTCTCACCGCCATCAGCAACGTGGGTAACGAGACCCCATTCTTCCGCTTGCTTCAGGGCCTTCTCTGCCATCTGGCGGGCATTTTTTCGCTCCGGTTCATCGAGTTTTGAGACTGCCATCAGCACTTCCAGCATGTTACTCTCCACGAGACGCGTGGCCATCTATTGATGATATCAAGTTAGGTATGATGATGATGATATGATGATGATATGCTGGCATGATGTGATGAGGCGATAAGCCTACGGAATGATTGATAGAATACATACCTTGCGCAGCATTATACGAATAGTTAAATCTCTTTTTTGAAACATTACAAAAAAACGAACGGAAGAAGTGGAAATTATGGTAAATATGGTATATGTAATGGTACATAAATGGTATATATAAACACCGTAAACACACACACACACACACAAACAGACAAACAAATACCTACCTCTTTGTCAGCACACATCATGTTGTATATTATGAAGGTACCTCGGTGTTGTATCTCTGGATTCTCGTGCGCTAACAAGCCTTGCATTATTTCGAACCACTGCTTTGTGCTCTGAGTGGGTGGAAAAAATGGAAGAAAAATGAATGAATGGCTGAGTGAGTGAATGAATAAATAAATGAATGAATAAAATAAACAAGTAAACTAAGCAGAATGTATCTAAGGCAATGAAAGCAAAGTCATTCTCCACAGTTTTTTTACAATTTTTTTCAAAACGATTTACATAAATATAAAATAACATACCGACACGACTGTCAAATTATCTAAATTATATTGAAACCGGCGAAAAAACAAAAAATAAATGTGAAACATTCCATTTTTTAACCGACCTCGATGACCTTTCGGCAGATGGCAGGGTCAAAGGTCAGGGTTGCAAGTGCGCCCGAAGACGCCATCACTAACTTCTCATCCTCCTCTGAGCCCGAGAAGAGGACGAATAATTTTACTCGGTCGTTCTGACCCAGGAACATCTTGGCGACCTTCGTGGGGTTGGAATGTTTAAAAAAATATTTCCCAGCAAATGCATTTTTACTCTTTAAAATTCCACAAAATAAAAATTTTGAAATATTTTTTGAGTCGTGAGAGTGTGTGTGAGTGTCTGCGGTGTGTGTGGTGTGTGATTCAGATTCGTAACTTCCATTTTGTCGTATATATTTTGTAAGGTCTCAAACAGAAACAGGCTGGCAATAACGAACCTCGTCATTTTGCACGAGGTTACATAAGCACTCGGTGGCAGCCAACTTGAGCTGGTCGTGGTCTTCGTAGCAGAAGTGCTCGATGTATGAGAAGCCTTTCTCTTGCACGATTCGTTTTCTATGGGAAAAAAGAAGTTTTAAAATTTTGAAATTAAAAAGTATTAGGATAAGAAACAACCAACCAACCAACCAGCCAACCAACCAACTAAAGAAACAACCAACCAACCAACCAACCAACCAACCAGCCAGCCAGCCAGCCAACCAACCAACCAACCAACCAACCAACCGAATAGCCTGCAAACCAGCCAACCAACCATTCAACAAGCGACAAAACCTCACCACGTTTGAATAAGAATTAAATCGAAAAATTCCAATAAATTAATTAACTAATTAAACATTGAAATAGTAGCACCAACAACACCACAGCACTACAGGGAATCACAAAAACCCACCAGCCAACACCACCATCAAAAAACCGACCTGACAGCATCACTGGAAGAAGCCAAATTGGTCAGTGCCAGCAGGGCCTCGTAACTTTCCAAAGCCGTCCTATCAATGGACAGTAACTTCAGAAGGGGTCTCACTACTTCACATGACTGGACGTGGGAGGAGTTAAGGTTAAGATTCCGAGTAAAAGAAGTGAAAATTTCATATGTATTCATTCACTTATCTATTCATCCATTAATTCATTTATTAATTCATTCATTCTTTCATTACTCTCTGTCCAGGGAATGCAATGTCCGGATTTTGAGTGACAGCAATCTTAGCAAGGGCATGACTGGCCTTGATTTTTCCCGCCTCCGTGCCTTCATTGGCCAATGGGAGAAGTGTCTATTTATAGAAGAAATGTCTATCTATAGATTTATGTTAATTAAATAATGACATATGAGTGAATATGACTGTATGGCTGTAATGTGGAAAAATTTTGATATATTAAAATATGAGCATGGCGTATCTGAAAAACCAAAAATTAACTTGAAAATTAAAAAAATACAATGGAAAAATATAATACAAACGGATGAATATTAATTTATCTAATGAATATTAATGATCCATAAACGACCTTGACACCTCCTTGCTGTACAACGAGACCTCTGTGATCAGCATTGGCGCAAACTGCCAAGTAGATTCTGCATGGTGTCGATGGGAAGGCGATAATTTGATGACTGATTCAAATAAAACTTGTTAACATTTACGAACAATTAATGTTTAATGATGAAAATAAATTATGATAATTTGACAGCTCTCAAACGTAATGGAATCAATAAATAATGGGTAAAATATTTGTGTTGCAAAATGTGGAATTTAAAATGAAATCTAAAAATTTAGAATGGAACATGAAAGACAAATCCAGAATATCACATTCCTAAAATTATGATAATATTTATCATCATTATGATGATCATTATGATGATCATCCCATCGTCATCATCTTCATCTTCATCATCATCATCATCCAACCTGGCTAAAAGTTCGTTGCTACTTTCACTTTCAGATTTCGAAAATGCCACCAGGGCATTCACAATCCCCGCCTTAACTAACTTTGTCACGCGTTGCGATATACAGGGCTCTTTGTCCTAAATGAATAAGATCGTAGTCATAATTGAATTGTAATTAAGTAGAATTACCAATATATCGCTTCAAGGTCAATATGAAATCGTTTCAAGGTCAATTCGAAGTGGTTTTATAATTAAGGTCATGTCGTCTTAAGGTCTATTAAAGGTCGTTTTGGGTAGAAATAAGTCTAAATAAAATGTGGTACTTACAAGACTTTATTAATTTACACGTTGTCACTTTAAAAATTCAAAAAATTTTCAAAATTTTAAAATAAACACAATTTAAAATAAATACAGAATAAATTAAAATGAATAAATGAAATAATTGTGAAACAAGCAAACTAAAAAGTGCCTTCTCATGCTCTTCTGGTATGTGTTGCTTGGCGTACTTAGCTAGCTCTAGTAATTCGGGGTCAATTTCTTTTTTGTCATACGAGTTGGTGACGTTGACGAAGATCTGGGCCACAGGGTACAATATGCCCTTGTCTGGCACCTGATTGGTTGGTTGGTTAGTCAGTTGAATGGTCAGTTGATTGCCGGATTGGCTAGTTGATTGATTGATTGATTGATTGATGAGTTGATTCTTAAATGAATGATTGAATCCTATGCACGGGACGAAAAGTAATTATATATTCGTCAAATATATTACCCTATTTATACTTATAATAAAAATAATTATAGATACGTAATAAATAAATAAATAAATAAATAATTATAAACATTGAAACAACAACTTTGGCAAGATCGATAAGTGACTTGAGGGAGTTGAGATCGTTGGCCAGTTCTTCTTTGACATCGGCATCTAGGGTCAGGTAGGCCAGGCCCTCTGCTGCCCACTTTCGCAGGTCCACATCTTTCGTCGGGTTGCATAAAAATCTGATTGGTTGAAAAATCAGATAGTGAGAAAGAAAAAGAGAGAGAGAGAAAGAGAGAGAGATAGAAAAAGAGAACAAGTAAAAATGACAGAGAAATGCAAACGGAGAAAGAGAAAGAGAGTAATTGATGAAGTATAAGAGAAAAGCAGAGAGAAAAAGAGCAAAAAAGAGAGAGAGGAGAAGTAATTACCATCGTCACCTAATTCATCAGCGTAAATAATATCTTAATCATCGTAATGAATGACCATGGCGTCTAACTTCCTGCAAGCTTTGGACAGGGTGAGATTGGAGCCATCGGCAAATGCCTTCACACTCGCATCATCACCACCAAACGATCCGAGCTTACACAGGCCCTGAGTGAGTCAGTGAATAGATAAATGAATAAATGAGTGAACTAGTATTGTTGTGATGAGTATTATTATGACGGAAATTATATCAGTAAAACAATGATGACAAGAAGAGCTAATACTTCAACGTGTTTATAGATGATAAGTTATTAGAACATTTTCAGCAGATTTAAAATAGGAAGCCACCAGAAAACTTTACCGACCACTAAAGCTCTGACTTTAACAGCGTCCTGAGACGACTGGTAGAGCTGTTTCAAGATAGGCGTGGCCTGTTTAATGACACCAGAACATTTTTCTTTCTTAGACGCTGATTGGACAAGAGCTTCAACGGCGTATTTCTGATTGGATGAGTTGAATAATGACGTCAACGTCAGTATTATTACATGTCTTTGATCACGTTACTAATTTTGCCTTCCTTAAAATAATCATTGTATTCTTCATAATCTCATCATCATCACCATCATCATCATCATCATAGTCATCATCATCATAGTCATCATCATCATCCTATTATCATCACCACCACCATCCTCATCATAGTCATCGTCATCATCATACAAACCACGTAGATGGCATCTCCAGAATCAGCCATTGCGAGGATGATGTCCAAGACTCCCTCCCTAGATAAAATAGAATTCCCAACGGTCGGCGCACCCTAGAATAAAAAATAAAAATTTAAATTTAACAAAAATAAAAATTACTCTAATTAATAAAAACCGAAATAATTTTAAAATTATAAGCTTAGTATAATATAATAAAATAGTAATAACAGAATAATATAATAAAAATAATATAATATAATAATATAACAATAACCTGAAGTAAGGCTGCCAGTGCCAGAACAGCTTCTAACTTCGAATCAACAATTTCATCTTTAAAGAGGTCTCTTGAAGAAATTATAATTCGTTGTGTTTATTATAAATATTTATAACTGAACAAGTAATGACTGGCTGTGTTTGTATTTATAGTTGAAGAAATATCTCCACATCCATCTCACTAACAGGAAATAAGCTTCAGCAGCTTCTTGGAATTTTTCTCTCTCCTGATCACTGATGAGGTCTTCGTAGACTTTTGACAGCAGTAGCGAAACGTGCATTCGACTGTTGGTACTGACACTGAGTACCTTACTCTCTGGAACTGTACCCGCCACGGTCAAGGCCTGCTGTATGCCTTGTATGAGAGGGTATGAGGTAATAAATACCATGATTCTGCGGAATCTGCGTATTCCATTCTATGTTGTAATAGGTAGCAATACAACAACAACACACGTTTAGACGACATTTTCCCCGAGATCGGGGGTTGCCGTTTGGCTACCTATGATGAAACCGAAATGCCCCTCGACGCCATTCTGCCGGATACTGAGGGCCATTGTCACTTCTGTCATCATAAGTAATTTATTTGGCTAATTTTTACGCAGGACGCCCTTCCTTACACAACCACAGTTATAAGCGGTGGGCCTAGCCTTTGATGATCCAACATCACTCACAAGGCAGTGAGGGTCAGTTTAATGTCATAACCAGGAAATAGGTAGCAATAGCAGACTAACAACAAATCAAAACAACAACAACAACAACAAACATATTGCACATCGGCAAAGAAAAGAACAGCTAACAAACACAAACAAACAAAACAACAAACAAACAAAACATACAAACCCACAAACACCTACCTCCAACTTCAATGAACTTCCCAGACCAACCAACGCCATCTTTCCTGGTGACAAACTTGATCAACAACTCCATAATATTGTCTCTACCAAAACTAGAACACTTTCCATTCGTTAAACTCTGCAGCAGTGGTCTTAAGAATGTTGTGTCAAGATAGTTCTTCGTTTGGTCATCTGTATGGAAGTTAAATTTTTCGTCATTGACAATGCATTTTGTAATCATAAATTAAGAATTGTTTTGTTTGTTTTTCTATAAGCCATGATATGCAATGACTAAAATCAGTGAAAAAAATAAATGTACATCAATCATTAAACATATCAATAAACCAGTCCAGTCAATTAACCAGCCAACAAACCAGCCAACCATCTATCCAACCAACCAACCAACCAACCAACCAACCAACCAACCAACCAACCAACCAACTAACCAATTTTTTCAAAACAAAAAGGAAATGGTCTTATCCTAGCAGCAGGATCAGCCTTCCTCTTACTTTCATGTTTCTCTCTCTCCTTCTTAATATCTTCAAGTTTAGAGAGGGAGTTGATGACATTTTGTAGGAAGTGCGTCATGGCCGTAGAGATGTTTTCGTCGTCGGATCCGATGTAGATGAGGACTTTTTTTAATGTCAGTTCTTCTAAAATCTTCTGGGCCTGTGAGAGAGTCAGTGAAAAAAATATTTACACAACCTGAATGAAAACGATTGAGGTTACTTGGATGAATTGTGAACGTATGAAAGCGTAAAATCTTTAAAAAAAATAATTTAGGAGATTATATTGAATGTATAAAAATTGATAGATGATAAACATAGTCACACCATTTTCACTCATCCACTCACTTTTTCACTCTCACTCACTCGTTCATCCACTCACATTCTCACATTCTCACTCAATCACTCACTCACTCACTCACTCACTCAAATTCTCACTCACTCACTCACTCACTCACTCACTCACTCACTCACTCACTCACTCACTCACCCACCCACTCACTCACTCACTCACAAACTAACTCTCATCTACTAACTCTAACTTTATCCTCATAAACCAGACATGAAAGAACCCGGATAGCCGTAACTTTAATCTCCTTATCCTTCTCAAAGTCAACCAGTTGGATGAGTTTCTTGGACCCTCCACTGTTGAAGATTTTCTCAGCACCAGCTGGCTCTCTGGCCAGGACGATTAGGTTGTTTGTTGCCTGGTTAGTGATTAGGAAAAAGTTTGCTTAGTCACGGTTTAGTAGATGCTGTTGTTGTTTGTATGTTTGTAAGTTATTTGTTTTGTTGAATTTAATTGTTTCGTTATTAGGTTTTCATCTAGTTTATAAATAGGTGAATGGGCAATATCACTGACTAGATGGATGAAAAAATGATTGAACAACAAATAAAAGACCAGGCAAGGCGATTTCTAGTGAAATTATTGACTTAATGAATGTAGAAACAGTTTTAACTATCTGACTAGTGCAAAAATGAAATAAGCAACATGTCATCAAATAAATTTGAAAATGAATGAACAAACAAAAAACACTAAATATTTAGAAATAAAAATGGCCGAAGCACCTGCTTCCTCTTCTCGTCATCATCATCGTTGTCCAGCTTTCCTTTGAAGGCCAGGTCAAACATCTGAGATACTCTGTTGTCAGTGCTCATTTGTTTGGATACCTGGTGGTGGTCATTGATACAATTTTGATTGATATCTCACATACTAATGAAAATATATCATCATCTTTGTGTTTAATCGTGCGAACAATAGATACATCAGCATAGCTATCATCATTTAATCATTGAATTTCTTCTAGATGTTATTATCATTTTCATTATTATTCTTATTAACATCATTTATTTAAAACTTTGAGTGAAAATCATCGTTCAACAAGACCTTAAGCAGTTAAATAAAAAGACAATGCCAACAATTTTCTATTTTGTGCCAAAAAGCAATGAAACATTCAACATATGACTAGCCAATCAACCAGCTAACAAACAAACGATCAATCAATCAATCAACCAACCAACCAACCAACCAACCAACCGACCGACTGACCAACCAACCAACCAATCAATCAATCAAACACTGAACCAACCAATCAGCCAACCTTATCTTGTATGGCGAAGTGTAGCCTCCTCAATATGGGCTGGATGGCCTGGTTCTTCGGCTCCACCTGGGACAACAGTCTGGCATCCTTGTACGCCTCCTCCAAACGACCTTCACCCTCATAGGCCTGGCATCTTCTGAATAATGCTTTTGAATCTGTTGGAGATCTTTCTAGAACTGTTTGAAATATTTTATTTAACTTGATTCGGTAATTTTTTCTGTAATTAAACATACATTTTCATCTCGCATGTATAGTTTACACAGGAACATATAATAACAATATGAAAAATCAATTAATCTCTAAAAGGTTAAAATAAGTCTCTAGTAAAAACCTTTTGAACAATCTATAATAGCCTCTGAATATTTAGACATCTTCAAATAGCAAGCAGCCCTGTTCTTCAGAAAGACCATCCTATCGTCATCAGAAACATTTTCAATAGCCAGAGCCTTGCTATATGTTAGAGATGCATCTTTGTACATGCCCTGACTGAATAATTTGTTACCATTCTCTTTCAGTTTCAATGCTTCCTCCATGATTTTGGAATTCAAATTTAGAGTATGAAATGATTTATTTTAACCTGTCATATGGAATAATAGTTAATTTTTGTACATAAAAGACTATATAATTCATTATATCATATTATAGTGAAAAATGTAAATAGCTGAGAAGTGTAAGTTAAATTTATTTTAATGAAAGCGATAAAATAAAACAATCAATAATATTTAATTCAAATACTATTAACTGATGCCAATTTATTTTTCATTACCAAAAGCAGAATGTTAAGTAGATGAATCTTAATCATAGATAACATAAAACATAAATTTAAATAAGATAGAACAATCTACTACTTTCCACTCCCATTCTATTCTGCTCCAGCACATGTGGATGTACAAATACATACGCACACAAGCACGCACACACACATAAAGAAATACAATACAATAATTACATCTATAGATAGGCCATAATAATGCTATATGCTACCTATGCTATGCAGTGTCATACACACAACCATATTATACAAGAGGTAGATAGACATACACAGACACACACAGACACATAGAGTCATCCAAACCTCGTGTGAATGAACGGAAAAGTTGCAAAACTAGAAGTTTGATCAGCAGGGCAGCTACGACTACGGTGTTGAATGTTGTTGTGTTGAGTCGGTGATCTCTATTGGATGAAATGTTTAAAAGTGAAAATGGTACGAATGATTGGCTAGGTGGTTTATTTGGCTGACCATATCTATATAATATGTATGAGCATTGAGTAAGTTTAAGTCACATAACTAAAATAACTTCGCTCACTTTTAACGGTCGAACAAGGAGCTTACTTCCGGAAGAGATTTGGAGGGTGATTTATTATCGTTCGAGTCAAGAGTCAGGCTATTTGACATGCTTGGATTATTCAATTGGCTTACGAAATTGCATGGATTTTAACGAGCAAGCTATATAAAATATTTACTTCACTTAATATGCTTAAAACATTGTAGTAATTCTCTTTAATTTTATAAATAAAATTATGATTTTATTAAATAAAATTATGTATTATTAAATTATTGTTGTTAATTTGAAATCCTGTGAAATCCTGTGAAATCCGGCGGCTTTTTACTGAAGCCGAAGGTTGGCTTAGTAGGATTGAACTAAAGTCACCCTTTTTTACACTATTCGATCATGTTAAAAATTTGTTTACTCATGAAATAAACGACCTAAATAGATCAAAATTGTTATTTGAACAACTATCTTCATTATATTCATTATATACATTCTGCCGGTGCTCATAAAAATTATGGTTGCTGAAATCATACGTTGGCTTACTGCAGTGGCTTACTGGGTCTCATACAACAGTGTCATGGCGGTTTTCTTTACATATAATGCTTTAAATAAGTCAATATATTCATTTCACAATTATTTTTGTCAATATAAATAAAGAAATTGCTTTTGTCTGGTAAAATACAGTGGCCAAGTAAAGCCGTATGTTGGCTTAATCGGATTTTTTTTTCATATATACCAGGAGTGGGCAAACTTTTTGCTGTGAGGGCCGCATTGAGAACAATTTTATTTTTGAAGGGCCGCATATGTACTTAAATAGCAAATTTTTTCGACCCGGGGAGAATTTTTTAAGATTTGTGGCTCCTTTTTTTGGTCATAATGTCTGGTTGACGACCTTTTATTAAGCGAGCAAGGTCACGCGGGCGGGCCACATAAAATAGCTTTGCGGGCCGCATGTGGCCTGCGGGCCGTAGTTTGCCCACCCCTGATATATACAATACTATGAGATCAATCAATCAACCAATCAATCAACCAACCATTCATTCAATCAACTAATCAACCAACCAATCGACCAATCAATGAACCATATTTGAAAAATATTTGCAAGGCTTGTTCAAACTCGAACAAACACTTAACTGTACAGATCTACAAACAATTTCGAGATTTTAGTAAAGAAAGAAAAACACAATAGTTGCTTTTATTAAATCAAGAAATATCCAAAAATTATAACCAAATTAAAAAAAAACTAGAAACCAGTCAACATTTAATAAATAATTAAATAAATAAATAGACATTAAAAAGATTGTTCAAAAAGGTAAAAATTAAGGCGACGACGAGAATAAAATGTAGTTTGTTTTGTTGGTGTGGGGCTGTGAAGCGAAAACAAACACATCACAAAAAACTAGTAAAAAGTCGCAAGAATAGTAGTCAGTCACCTACCTACAATTAAATTACTCTCAGGGCCCTAGCTTACTTATAATCATTAACTCAACTCACCTACCTACAAATATGTTTTTCTACGTTTTTGGAATTTTACACGTTTTAGGTATTTTATTTTACATATTTCAGCGTTTTTATTTTACTTGAAACTTTTTAACTAATGTTAAGCCCTAGCCTACCTACGATTGTTCAACTCATCTCAATCCCTAACTTACCTATGAATAAAATTAAGTCCGGTAAAGAAAATAGAAAGTTGAAGAGAAACATAACAACGACACCGAATGAATGGATGTTGTGTATGTGTGTGTTGTATTGATTTATGTGCGTAAATGTGCGCGCGTGTACTCTCCAGAAACTTCTTATTGTCATCTTAGAATTGTCATCGGAACGATCATCATGAGACCACCATCTGAAACGTGCTGACGCCCGCCACAACCCACCTCTCATCATTCTGCAGACAAATTTTTTTATTAGCCTAGTAATAAATGAATGTTAGAATCTTATAAGAAAAAAATTATAAAATGAATATAATGGCAAATAAACTTATTACCATCTTCGAATTGTCATCGGAACGATCATCATGAGACCACCATCTGAAACGTACTGACGCCCACCCCAACCAACCTCTCATCATTCTGTAGACAAATTTTTTTTATTAGCCTAGTAATGAATGAATGTTAGAATCTTAGAAGAAAAAAATTATAAAATGAAAATAATGGCAAATAAACAATATTTTAAAATAATAAAGAGAGTAAAATGTAAAAAAATTTACTTTCGTCCATTCGACAAAGGCAGAATGTTGAATGCCTGAGTGAATCAAGAGTCAATGAATTAATTAATGATTCAATGATTAAAAAAATAAATGGAAAAATAATTTGAAAGATTGAGTGATAAAATGAATGAATCAATCAATCAATCAATCAATCAATCAATCAATCAATCAATCAATCAATCAATCAATCAATCAATCAATCAATAAGAAAAATTAAAAGACGAAACTACTAAACCTTAGTTCAAAAATCGTCGTTACAGTACTTCATTGCACCGACCACCATCATCTGGTCGGCACACATGATTTCATCCGAACTTCTGATTGTCAGTCGAACAGCCAACGCGCTGATTCTTCCTACACCACCATCATCATACGTAAATCATCATGAGACAACCATCTGAAACGTGCTGACTC